GGCCTTCTTAAGTCAAGATTCTTTTATTCTTTAACTCTATCCAGTCCTTCACCCATGTTATTGCTACTGCTAGTGCATATAACTCCCAGTTTGGTAATGCTAAGTCTCCTCTCTCCTTGCTATCTTGACTTTAGTTTAATTCTCACTTTTCATCCTTGCCAGGTGAACCTAGCAGTTTGTTTGTTTAATTCCCAAAAGAAAGTTTTACCAGGATTTATAGGTGCAGCTTGCAACAAAAATAAAATTCTTGGTAAAATATTCATTTTAACTGTGGCTATACATCCGATTAGTGATAGCTGAATATTTTTCCAACTTTCTAAATCTTTCTTTATTTGTGTCACTAGTTTATTATAATTATCGTCTTTAATTGTAGAACACTTTTCCGACACCCAGATCCCCAAGCATTTCACTTTCTTAGTTATTTGTATTTTAGTCACTAATTCCAATTCCTCGTTATGCTTTTTTGTCATATTCTTAGTTATCATTTTTGTTTTGTTTTTATTAATTTTTAACCCTGCCACTTCCCCATATTCTTCCAATTTTTGAATTAATTTCGGACTGGATTCTAGTGAATCTTATAAAACAAATACAAAATCATCAGCATAGGCTTGAGTCTTATATTCTTCATTTTTAAGTCTTAAACCTTTTATTTCCTGGTCCTTCTAATTTCATTTAACAATATTTCCAGAGTTAGTACAAACAGCAAAGGAGGGAGGGGGCATCCCTGTCTAACTCCCTTTTTTATTTTGATTTTCTCTGTTCTCCGTTCATCAGAACTTTGTCTGGGTGTTATATAGTTTTTCTACCATTTTTGTAAATTTTTCTCCGAATTTCATGCTATCTAATTGTGTTGTTATAAATTTCCAAATTACGTTGTCAAATGCTTTTTATGTGTCAAGGAAAACAGGTACCAATTGCTTTTCTGGATGTGCCTCATAATATTCTATTATATTTAGGATGACTCTCGTATTATTTTTAATGTGTTTATGAGATAAAAATCTGTTTTTGTCTGGATGTAGTACTTCATTTAGTACTTGTTTAATTCTTCCTGCCATAATCGCTGCCAATATTTTATAATTGGAATTCAATCGTGAAACTGGTCTGTAGTTTTTAATTTCTTGTAAATTGGCTTCTTCTTTTGGGATTAGTGATATTATTGCTTCCGTCCATGATTCAGGGATCTTGGCTTTTCCTAAAACTTCATTAAGCATTTCCACTCCTAATTCTTCCAATATTATTTGATTATATTTGTATAGCTCCACCAGAATTCTGTCTGGTCCTGGGGTTTTATTATTTTTCTGATTTTTCAGGACTAATTCTACTTCGGCTATCATTATTGGCCTGTTTATCGCCTCCCTTTGTTCTTTTGAGATTGGAATTATTTTTTCTGGGTTTAAATATTGTTTTCTCTTAGTTTCCTCCATACTATCTTGCGTGTATAGTTTGTAAAGTATTTTTGAATAATTTGCTTCTTTTCTTCTCCACTATGGATTACTATGGTTCCAATAGTGGTCAAATACTATCTATTATTTAAGGAGTCATGGACAAGTTAGATATTAAATTAAAAAGATCATAGATCCACATGATCTTTCTTGTGCTGGAGTTTTAAAACATCCATATGTGCTTTAAAAGCTAGTTTGACTCCAAGAGATGTATTTAAAACAACTCACAATTGTGCAACCTAATAATACAATAATGTTACAGTAAGCAGTGAGCACTTTTTCCATTTTTATCTTTAAAAAAAGATTCAAAAAAGTCAAAGCTTTTTTTCTCATTAAATTGACCAGTATCTTATTTAGTTATGTATTAGCCATTCAATTCCAAAGAACTCTTATTATTTGGCTATGAAATTAGTTTTTTCTCTGGAAACTCTGGGAGCTCAATAAACAAACAAACTCGAATCTGCAGCCATTTGAAAGAATCCAGTTATACCACTGAAGGAAAGATGTTACTATCTAACTTTTAGTGTCGTAACAAGATAGAAGTTGAGCTGTTTTTTTTAACGCTTATTTTCCTGCACGTTAGAGGATTTCAACAAAATACTGCCTTTCATAGGCGAAATGTGTAAGATTACTTTCAAGTCAAAGGATACAAAGAAAAGCAGGACCTGGTGGTGTTTGATGGCTCCAATCAGTCCCACCAGAGCAATCAGGAACAGAAAGATTCCAACTGCCACTGCGACTCCAACAACCCTGAAACTGGAGATGAGGCCAAAGCCAATGCCCCAAGCTGCAATTCCAATCAGCAACAGGCTGACCAACTGTTAAGAAAGAGAAAAAGTGAAGAAAGTTTTGCTCAAGCCAAGTGAAAGGTGAACATATCCAAATCAGTACAATAATCTTGGTCCAAACATTCCAGTGGTGAAATTCAATTTTTTTTTTACTACTGGTTCTGTGGGTGTGGCATAGGGGAGAAAGCATAGGAGGGAAAGGATGCAAATTCTCCGTTCCCACCCCACTCTGAGGCCAGCCAGAGGTGGTTTTGGCGGTTCCCCGAACTACTCAAAATCTCCACTACTGGTTCTCTAGAACCTGTCAGAGCCTGCTGAATTTCACCCCTGCCACAAACATTTCTCCTGGGTATAAAATATATTCACAATAACTTAAAGAGTTAAATCTAGCTTAATTTTCATGATCTTAAAAATCTCCTGTTTGATGTGCTTACGCAGTTTTAAAATTATGCAAAGTTCCTTTTGGGAACCAAAGACAATCATAAAGGAAATCAGCAGATACAGATAGGAAATTGTCATTCATTAATTTAAAATGCTACTTTTAATTGTACGTTATCCATTTAAAAAAACATTGCAATATACTGTAGTTCATGTTCACAAGTTTGATGAGTTTATAGCTTTTTAAAAAAATCACAAGAAAAAAAATCAAAGGAAAAAATCTCTTAAGTTGTTTTCCACATTTTATGGATAACAGTATGGAGGTGATTTGTCATTATTTTCTTTTCTAAAATATTTCCAGAATATTTGTATCGCCCTGTCTAGCTTAGAGTTTTGCAGTTTTCTGGCAATCTCCCATGTGCTCATCTGGTTTGACCTGATTAGTTGCTTTTTTTTTCTTAAGATCATCCAAGTCAGCTAAATTCTGCCATCTAGTTCATAATTTTGAATTAATCTTTGTAACAGCAATTCATAATCAATCTTTGTAAATCATGCAAAAAATGTATCCTTAATAAAAGATATTCTGATATTTATGAACAACAGAAAGTTAATGCTTTAATCCACAATGCTAAAGCTCCACTGGAAATTAAATGGCAATTTGGCTTCACAAAGAACATCAGAAATCTCACACTCTTTTGGCAGATGGCAGGCAATAAATGTATGTATGTATATATGTATGTATGCATGTATGTATGTATGCATGTATATATGTATGTATGTATGTATGTATGTATGTATCACCTGCAATAGAGATTGATCTGTGTCATTTGTATGATGTCACGTTAACATTTTTGAATGGAATACAGGTAATCCTGGTTTAGTGACTGCAATTACAACAAAATAACTTAATTTTAACTTGAACATAAATCCTCACATTTATGACCTTCGCAAGTCATAATTCATAAAGCAAAGGAGAATTAAAGTATGATCACAAGGACAGTTGTGATTTCATTTAGTTTTGCTTAACAACCAAGTTGCTGGTCCAAATTTTAGTCACTAAACCAGGACTACTTAAAAGGTTTTTACTTTTGCCCAGCGTTTAATTAAAATTATGTTAAAGTCTGCGTAGCACGCTTCTTCCCTAGCACCACATTTCAAACTTGACAGCTTTGGCACAAAGAAATATTTGACAAGCTATGTTTTAAATGGAGGAAATCATTTTTTAAATGCAGGAAGCCCCCACCTTTCCTGTTTCTGTAAAAAAGAAAAGTACTGAAAAACAGAGTTATTGTAATACAGAATAGCGCCTACAATCTAGTGCCATTCAGAAAATAGCAAAAATGAAAATTAACATAGTTGTTGGCTATACTTTCAGGGAATTCGGAAAGTTGCAATACTAATACATGTGGAGACTACCAGATTGGCCAATTTTTTGACCTCTAGGGCATCACATGACACAAAGGTTCCCAAAACAATGCTTCCATCCTATTTGGTATAAATGCTAAATTTATCCACTTGTGTGCATAAATGGTTTAAACAATTATACAGATATTAACTACTGCATAAATAAGCAGCTGCCAAGTTTATGCAATATTCAGTAATGCTTCACTGTGACTGATCCAGAATAAAAGGGCACACTTTGTCGTAAATATCTGGCTTTTTGACTATACACATTCAAAAATTCCAGGATTATATGATGTTTACAAACAGCCAAATGGGATGTATTTGATATATCAACTGAACCACTATGTCTTTTCTAGCAGTCCCAGTTCCAAAAATTGTTGCAATCTCCATGTTTAAATTTTTTTCCAAATTACACCTTAATCCCCTTAGTAGATTTATAGTGGTACGAGTATGGTATTATTTCCATTTTTTATTTTTCTATTGTAGTTTTATTAGTCTAATTTAGGGTACAGTTCAACCTGTTGAAATGTATTCAATGAATTCAAAACCCAGACCATGGAAAAAATCTTTGATAAGATGTAAAAAGCAGGAAAGCAATTCAGTAACAGTTTAAACTCATTTACAACAAGCTACATGCAGTAAAAACTCAAGCACAAGATGTCAATAACAAATATTAAAAGTTGACTTGCTGGACCATTACAGAGAAATGTGATAATACTGCTGCACAATACTGCAATTATAATAAAAGGCAAGGTATACATTATGCAAATTAAAACACTCATTCTCAAACTTTGGAATTTTATTCCAAGTAAATGTTTAATTTCAACAGGATGCAGTAATTGTTTGCAAGCCCCAGTAATTGTTAGTAAGCCCCAGTAACTTTCATCACTGTAATTCCTTGTTGTCTTGCCAGCTTCATTTTGTTTCCCAGGTTCCATGGTTTTTAAATGTAAGAATCTGAAGGCCTATATTGAAACTACTCTGGAACACAGGCTCTGAGTAATTAAACCCTCAACTAAACATACATTATTCAGCATCCAGGATGCTTCACACATGATGTGGTAGGAAACATACTTCTCCATTACTTCCTTATCTGGGACCTGAATCATATGATTTAACTAGACGTGATGGTTTTTCATTTATGTGCTGAGGTTTTGCAATGCTTTCCGATTTACTGCAGAAATGACTTGACTTAACTTTCTATTTTTAAAAGCTTAATAATTTAATACAAAGTTACATGACTTAACTTTCTATTTTTAAAAGCTTAATAATTTAATGCAAAGTTAAAGTATAGTAACCACATTTCTAATGTTTGAAAATGAGAAATCTAATTTTTTAAAGTTAATTTAAGACAAAAAACAAAATAAACAAAATAAGATTGCTATAGCTGTTTTGTGAGATAGTCTGTAGTTCAAAAGTCATAAAATGATATCATGTAGAGCATGAGCCTGAAAAATCCTGTTCCATTTTATACTCCTCCAATGTCAAACAACTTAACTGTAGCCTTACCAAAGGAGTTGTCCATGGAAAGGGGCTGAGGTTGGAAATGAATTTCCTGACATCAGAATTTACTGCTCTTAAAAAGTTTCACACACATCCAGAATAGATTATGAATGTTGCTAGAACAAATCTATCTAGAAGTTTATTTTACAATCTGGGTTTTTGTGATAGTCATCCAGCTGCTTCCAAGAAAAACTACAGATATAACAAGATAAAGTAATAGTAATAGCAAATAATCATAATAATTAGTAGTAAGCAATGTTTAGATATGTATTAAATGGGTTCATTCAATGCACTAAGTCGAAATGTGGAGTGTAAATTCATCCATTTGCTTGTAAATCATGATTCAGAAACTAATGTGATGGTGTGCATGCTAAGAGTAACATGTGGTCTAACCATAGTATACAGAAATTCTGCTTCCCGGTATTAAATTTCCCCCATGTAATATTAATTACAATTAAATATAGTTAATATGATTCCTTATGTATTTAATAATTTGAAAACAACTTTTGAAGAAATTTGAAACATACCAAGGGTTTTGGAATGCAGTTGCTCAGGGACTTCAGTTTTGTACATTTGGCTTAACATGACGTGATTTATTTAGGGAAGTGCTTAAGCAAATCTTTGCTGAGCAGATTGTGTGAATATTCTAATAGCTTCCCAATGTAAACTATTAAAAAGTGGGGGAAGCAGTTCCTCCGCCCCTACTTAAAAATGTGTAAGACTTTTTGAGCAGTTTAAATCCACAAAAACAAAGAATATTATCCTATAACATAACATAGTTAGAAACTCCAAATCCCTCTGAGTATTGTGGGATTCCAGTCTCAGCCTGTAACCAGGAAAATAGGAATTGCAATCTCATATCACCAGATGCTTCATATAGTGAAGTGGATGGAGAATACATTTAATAATAAACAAGCAAACAAAGCAAATGATGTCCTCTCTAGTGGAAGAAGGAGTCAAAAAAGTCAAGATAGCTTAACTATGCAACTAGGCAATTTGGTAATTTGACCTGTTTCAGTCTGATGTAGGGCCTTGTGGCTGCCTAATCAACAATAAATTTATTTCCAAGTGCAAATGCACAAATGGAAGTCTGAGTTTTGTAGTTATAGAAGCTAAAATAAAAACAGCACAAAATTTTATGGATTATTGCTCCACAATTTAAACAAGTATCAATTAGAGTTAGCATAGTTAGGCAGGGGCTTGGATATAAAATAAAAACCAAAAGGCTCAAACTTTTTAAAAAATGAAACTAATAATTATTTCAGTTAATTAGCCTTATTAGCCAAATTATCTAACTTTGCTTTTCTACAGGCAATAATCAGCTTGAAGATTTCCCCACCGTTGGATTTTTCTGTCAGGAGAGGAAGAAAAGCTAAATGGCCTCTGGGTAGTTGCTCGAGACCGACAATCCTGCTGGACGGAGTGATATGTCACCCCAAAGTACACACCGCTGGAACTCCCAGCGCGTAATCTGGGGTTTAACAGAGCAGCCGGTTGCCTAGGCGCAGAAGAAAGCCTGCAAGAAAGGGGCTTCTGGCAGATTCGAGTTCCCGCAGTCCCTCGTGGAGACTCTTTCTCACCGCGGCAGGTGCACCGTTACAGCAGCGTGCGAGAAGCGTTTTTAACGAAGGCGACTGCTCCGGAATATCTGGTGGTCACTACTGCTTCTCACTCTCGGCGGACTATGGGGTTCCCACAGGCCTGCTGTGATGCTTTTTCGCTCGCAGGAAGAAAAACCAGTCACTTTTGGGCGGCGGCAAGATCTCCCACGCCCACCCACCCCCCAACCGCAGGAAGCTTCCATTCAATCGCCACCTGGTTCGAGAATGCGGGCGGCGGCTGCACTTACCGTGTAAAGCAGGTTGAGCGCACAGAGGCAATTTTTGGAACAAGAGAAGCCTCCGCAAACCATCGCGCCCCTGCGATTGTGATCGCTGCCGCAGGGTCCCCTGATCTGGACAATTCCCCTCTTCCTTCAAGGGAGGGAAAACAAACCTTTGCCTCCTTTGCCAGAAGTGTAAAAGGACAGGTAGAACCACAGCGGCCACGGCGGCACTGCAGGAACACCAGTCACAAAACCTCGCTTTCCCAGTTAGCTGCCAGCGCAGCTCAGAAACCTCCCGGGGGGGGGGAGGAGGAGGAGGACCGCAGGCAGCCAAGGCCCTCATTGGCTGGTCTTCGGAGACAAAGGTAAAAATATGCAAATACGCCCGGCCCGGCGACCTGGTTTTGAACGAAGTCGTGGAAGAGTGCGACGCGGTTAGCCCTTTCCCGTTGTCATTTTACAGTATTGCTGCTTCCTGGGGAGACATTGGTTACCCTGAAAGCAAAATTTTCACTGAAGTAGTTCCATGCACACCTAAAATTTGGTTGATTTTGAGTTAAAGTAAATTTAGAACAGCTCTTTGTCTTTGGCATGAGTTGAAAACTATTGTTCATTATTTCTTTCCTATGTCTGAGTCTAAGATTCATAGGTATTGTATACCAATATGTCTTTGAAGTATTTGTCTGGAAAAGTCTGGCTTCTAATGCGATGCATATAGTTGGAGACTGTAATGAATTGCCTACAGATATGTTCCTATATTCGGTATATATATATATATATGTAGAACAACAATAAGTAATAAAAAGAAAGCCATAAGAATATAAACAAAAGCAAAAAAAAAACCTATAAAAGGGATCTTAAATAACAACCAAATACATTGTAAATTACATGAGAGACAATAAAATACATTATTACTGTGATATATATCAATATATATCAATATATATCGCTGGCCTCCTGACGGAGGGCGGCTCTGCTCTGCGGCAAAGGCAGCGAGGCCAGCCACCTCCCATGCTGTGCTCAGCTGACCGACTGGACCCCCTCGCCCTCACCTGCCTGGCCGCTGGTGGGCTCCGCGTCGATGGGGCGGCTCCTGGGAGCGGGCGCGCCTCTCGCCCGACCGCAGGT